ACATCAAACTAAGCTAACTCAGCTGACATTTTGGTACAATGAGGTTTTTAGCACATCCCAGGAATTCTTTATGATGTTGAGTGAGTTGGGGCTTCTCCAAGATGGACTAAATAAGGCCTCTATGTTTAACTGCATTTACTGTTGTCTCATAAATTGAAAAATCATACATTCTGAGTATAAAAACTGACATTTCCAGGGAACTTTAGCAATCACCAAACAGTAATTCCTATTTCCTTTTCTGTGAATTAATGGCTCATCAGAGAAAAATCTAACTCAAATCAGGGAGGTAACAATTATGGGAGAAGTTTCACACAGGCTTTGAGGTTGAAGGGTGATTTAATTGTTAAGAGGTTTTTAGCAACTATATTGCTTGAAGTGATTAAGTTAACTTATCAATAGTGAACTTTGTCTCTTTAAATGGTGGCTCTAACTCATTGGTTGTAAATCAAGTGTGTTTCCCCAGGAACATTATCCAGAAGCAGGTCTTCTGTATTCGGTTGTGGAAAGTGAGATGACTTGTGAGTTGAGTTCTAACAGAAAAGACAAATTGATTTTGGGGAGAGTGTGCATTGCGTTTTCAATTTAGCTTCTATTTTTGAAAGTGGTATTCGAAACCCGATGAAAGCTGACTGGAACAGTCTATAAGGTGAAATACCGTTTCATTTCATCATGATTAATTTTTCAGTTATCATCATTGGCTAATTTGTGTTATAATTATGTTTGAATTGGATGATGATTCGCTTTTCAGAAAGCGAATGGAAAAGGGGTAAGAAAAGTAGGAAAGTTACTTAAATGGGGGAATTTGTTCTTTGGCCTTGTGTGTGGAAAAAAGTAGACATCAACCCCTTGCGGATGGTCAGATCATGAGAAAGACACCTGTTTTCCCACAGCAGCAGAGAAGCGTGCAAGCAGGCGCAAGAAAAATGCCTTTCTAACATATGTGAATATATTTTATAACCAGAGCAGAGATGCTAAGTATCAACATTTCAAAAAACCAATGACTTTTATGTGATTAAATTTATACGGAAAGCACTGCTGTTCCCCACACTAGGGCTGATGCTGTGCTGGACAGAATAAAGGGTATGGAAAGCTATTGAGAAGGAATCAAAGGAATACAGATGAAGGCAGATACCGTCATTATAGAAGGTGACATGTTTGAAACAATTGCCAGAAATTCTATTACCAGAGATAAAATGAATATACAAAGTATACAGATAGTTCAGAATGGCAGAAAACAAGTACCATAAGATTAAGTATTATTTAAAGTAGCACTACTTAGGTAAGAAACCTAGACAAACCAAAGCTTCAGAAACAGATTTGTTAAGTCTCGGGGCAGAGGGAGATGACGGACGCAAGGAGGGCTCTGCTAGAGCAGAAGCGGCTCCTGATTCGGGCAGGTTGTTGCCAAGGGGCAAAAAGAGGTCTCCTAGGAGCTTGTTTCTGTTCACCGCGCCATTTCTGTGCCTTCCCCTTTTGAGGAACAGTAATATTTCCTGGAAAGAGCCTGGTTTGCTGACATCTTCCCTTTCTTATTCCTTTCTCTGTCCTCATCCATCCCACTCTAAAAACAGAGTCTCTCACAGACCCAATCTAACCAAACCAAGCTAAGTAATTTCTTCCTGTAATTACTCTTCATGTCTGACCGTCTCTAGTTTCAGGACAAAGCCTGAAATGTTAAACCAAAGCAAATGCTTGGCTAGGTAGCACTTGGGTTGACCCTTGTTCTCAGGAAAATGTCATCAACTCTTGGATGAGAGGCACGTGTTGAGAACCATTTTCTTTTGAGACAGGATGGAGAGGAGAGAGATGCGGGCGTCCCATCGTTTTATGGGATGGAAAGGATGTGATGAGAAGCTTCCACTTCCCAGTTCCCTGAGGGTCAGTCTTGAGCTCATCCCACTGCCTAAAGGGTGACTTTCTGCCCACACCAGGGTCCCATACTGCACAGACCACCAGGCAGCACTTCCCGGGGTCCCGGGGTCGGGCTAGCCTGGCCTGTGTGCTTTCACCACACCTGTCGTTCTGTGCAGGGCCCAGTTCAGAGTGAAAGCAAGTATGAGCAACCTTCCCACACTGACTATGGACACCTTCCAAGTAAATAAAAAGAAAGAAATGAGCAAAGAATAAGGGACTGTGGAGGAATTGGCATCACAGAGGAGATTTTAAAGGGTCTGGGGATGCTTCAGTACCTAGGCAGGCCTCCAGGAAGTCCAGTTTCACTGAGGCCTGGCCTGGCCTCCGGCGCCCGGTGATCCCGTGTATCTGCTCCAGTCCAGTCCAGTGGCTTTGCTGCTGAGCGCCCCAGAGCCCCAAGGGCGACGGCGCCTGCAGGCCTCCTGCTCAGCCAGTTGCGCAGCTTGTCCAAGGTCAGCACGGCCGCCGGGCAACATGCCGGTTATATCACTAGGGAAAGTCCAGTTGCTTCATTTTTTTGTAATCCAGTATTATGCCAAACTGAGATTCCATTTTTAAAAATGTCAAGGATTACAGGTCTGATAAAATTTACTTGTCATGAGTATATCATATTCTCAAAATTCTGGGTTGTCCTATAATAGCTAGAATACCCAACCCTCCTCCTTTTTTGAGGAAAAAGTTTATCACTATGTTTGATAACAGTATAAACTTAATATTCAGGAATATTCTTATGAAACTGATGGACTGGCCTCTGCGAAGCCCATTGAAGCAGCCAATCTTTTCCATATGGGCTCCTGGTTGAGGCGTCCTCTTTCTTTGGATTCCATATTTCTTGTCACTGATGCGGAGTGTCACAATGCAGTGCCTGTAAATAATGCCTTTATGATACTGGCAGCAACTATAATTTTTTGAGGACCTTTTCTTCCTAATTAAGAAGTTTGTGTTGTCATTACTTGTGTTGTCAGGCCATTAATTAGAATTCAGAAATATTTTCTAGTTAGTAATTCATTTATATCTTAAAAAGTGCCTTTATAGTTTCTTTTCAGGACATTAATAAACCTTGCAAAGGTGTGTATTGCAATTTTACTAGTATTGTGTTCTAGCTTTACAGCTCCTGAGAGGGTTAGAGTAGTTGATTAAATTCCACAGGAAGACATGCCTAGTAATCTGGGCTCCTTCGTGTGTAGTCCAGAAATGTCTTTATGAATGTATTTTTGCTTCAACCACAATTGTCTTCCTATTATTTTCTCACACTGAAATTATCAGCCTGTGTTTGTGAGTTTGATGTCTGTTGTCATGGAAATAAATAATGTCACAAATCGGTGCTGAAGAAAGTAGGTAGGACAATAGGCTGAGTAGCACAACCTTGAGGGAAACTAGCAGCTGACATTTGTTTATGAAGTACTGCAGTGCTGATCCGGAAGACAATCCCCATGTTCTAGCTAAAACTCTGTCTTATGCTTTTTAAAATGTTATTAATGCAGTTTTTTAGCTCATTTAAGTTCAATGTTGCTTTCAAGCACAATTCTTTCACAACAACTGTTCCTAACTGCACATTAGGAAATTTAGTAGAAGAGGCACATAGGAAATATGTGCCATACATTTAAAACTTAGAGACCAGTTGTTGGAATATAGATGATCAAAACAAAATGAGAAACACGAACAAACAAAACAACCAAATCAAAAAAACAAGCTGTTTGTTTGTATTTCTGTAAGTAGAGAAATTGTAAAGATGTGCGCCATTTAAGTAGCAAATACAGTTAAAGACCTTCAGGTGAGAATCAGCCTCAAGTACTGAGGGCAAAAAAACATGACAGTTTGTTCTTGAAAAAGTGTTTTTGATTGCAGTGAATTGCGCACCTAATTTCCCTCCGGAGACGAGATGTCCTGTCAGCAGTTAACGTTATTTCTCATGGAGTTGGGTTTTCCATTTGGGCTTGGGATCTGATAGGACGCTCAGCTCTTGTTTTATTTAAATTATAAATTTGATTCCCTCTAATTCTAGATTATGATATTCTAAAATATGATAGGTTTTTGTCCACCCAGATTTCTTTTTCATTATTTATGTCATTGTTTAATTATGAGTATTTTTAAGATGCTCATTTTTACTCTTTGTTTCAAGTGAAATAATAGCTTTCCAAACTCTTGTAATAGCATCATGTATCATTTGTTTGAATAGACAACAATTACTGGTCAAATGTATGCTGTAGAAGCAGACAGTTTTATATTTATGTCATCCTGTGGCATAAACCCTGGTTAAGACAGCCAGTGTAAAGTGACCTGTATAATTATCTTACATTTAAGTTATGGAAAGTGAGGGTTTTATTGGGAGACATCTGTGCCTCCTATTAAGTTGAGGTTTCCACATTTTTCCATTTTGGTTGTACAATTTTATTGTTTTTTTGGAATCAAAGAGCCAAAATTTAGTAGCAGACATTTTTAGTCAGCTAGAACAAGTGGTGTGTTTTATTTTGATGACTAATCGCTTTTAAGTTTTCCAGAAGGATTGGTGGTTTTTTGTTTCACTAGGGTTAAGCTATATTGAAAGTTTGCTCTTCTACTTTGTTAACTACAAGTATTTTCCACCAAAAAAATCGTTGTTGGAATTAAGATCTGTAAGTGATACAAGATGGTTGAGATCATACATTGAAACTGAGGTTATTTCTGTTGGATCAGAGAGGAAAAGACGTTGGTAAAGAAGTAAAGATCTTTATGAACAATGGGCTATGTCATAAGGTGGACTGAAATGTAAAATATCGGGAGTTAGATGCATTATGTTCCTTTGGAAATTTTTTTTAGACATGAAGTCCTTTCTATGTGGATGTCATCCTTGTCTCGCGGGACCTCACAGTCTGGCCGGCTACGTGGGTGCCAGAGTGATAGGCAGGAACCAGACATAATTCCAAAGTTTTATTTCATCAACCTGCTCCCCTGACAGAGCAGGACAGACAGCTAAGAAAGAGGAAACAGGCAGCTTTAGACAAATTGAGCTGGAGTTCATCAGGTCAGGTTGTTCACCAGGGTGAAGGAATGTTTATGTATCCAGTAGGCATTAAACAGTGATTCTCCTTTAATATCTCTCCTAGAACGTGGCTCACCTGGGGATTTGGTCACTAAAGATATCACCAACACTTCAATTGGGGCGTATTGGACATCTGCGCCAGGAATGGTTCGAGGTTACCGGGTCTCATGGAAATCGCTTTATGATGATGTTGAGGCTGGAGAGAAAAGGCTTCCTGGAGATGCAATTCACACTGTGATAGAGAATCTGCAGCCAGAGACCAAATACAGAGTCTCGGTATTTGCAACTTACAGCAGTGGAGAAGGAGAGCCCGTGCAGGGAGAGGCCACGACGGAATGTAGGTGACACGGCCAGCGTGCTTGGGTGTGCGCTGGTCCTGCTAAGGACTAGCAGCTCAAGTGACTCACCGCTTGCCTTTGGTTTTCTTTATATGATAAATGACGACTGAAAAATTAGGACCTGTAAAGAATGTGGTTTGAATTCAGGTTTGATTAATGCCTAAAAATCATATCAAATTTTGAAATACTGAATCTCTTTCTACTACCTGTATTTGTCTCTTTTTTGCTGGAATAATCACCAGAAAGAAAATCAACGAGTGAAAGATCAGGAACTATGGAGATAAAGCAAATTCAGCACCTTTACAGCTCTTTGACCTTGGGCAACTTACTTAATTCTCTTTGAGCCCATTTCCTAATCTGTGGAAAGCCGTCTCTTGGAGTTCTCCGAGGCGCGAGTGAGGGAACAGTGCACAAAGCCTGAGCACCGTGCCTGGTCACAGAGATGATGGTAAATGGTGGTAGCTATTGACACTATGATCATTTTATACCCAGAACTACTCCTAGATTCTTTACTTTATCCCTACTGTGTTTGGTAAGGTTCAATCAAAAGTCCACTCAATTTTCTGGTGGGTCAGATTTACCTTAATCTCACTAATATTCTTTCTTGTAATTTTGAATGACCTACCATCATTTATTACCAGCTGGCTGATGAAAGTTGTGTCAATGTTTCTTAATTCACTTTCCTAGAAAGTCATTTGTTAAACATGGGCATTTCTAAGAATTTAGGAGAAAAGATGGTTCCTTTTGTTTTGGGAGGATGATTTTAGGAATGGGGAAAGAATAGGGGATTCTTGCATTTCCTTATATTAGAAAGAAGTGGATGAATTGAGTGGTTTTTCTGGCAAGGGAGGAGAGAAGGAAGTCCCATGAGCAGTTTCAGTTAAGTCCTACATCCTGATTTCAAGTTGTCCTTAAATTAAAATTTTTTGGTCTGAGTCATCTAAAGAATTCATCTTTTTTTTTAAATCACTGGAAAACTCAGTTGGATATGTCTTAAGCTTAAATTTGTGTCAAAACTAAAATAATCCAACTTCTTATAGGAAATTTAAATATATGAAAAGGCATATTTCTCAGATACTCACATGATTGGTTTCCATGGTAGTAAATGAAATCGTGTGTCTGAAACATCATCTAGTTTAAGAACCTGGCAGAAATTCACCTCTATTTCTGGCAGAAATTCATTTGTTACTAAAGAGAAGCCATGTTATAAATTTAGACCAGATCTGACATAAATAGCTAAATTTATTTCTACAAGTATAGATACAATTCATGTGACTAAGAAATTATAAAAGTATCTATATTTCGAAGGAAGCTTTTCAACAATTCTCCTCCACCATGTCTTCTTCCAAAGACAGCCTTCAGATATTTACTTGGCATTGAAAATCTCCAAAACGGACATTTTTCAGTCAAAAGCAAGTATGTTAGCAGAAATCCTAAATAAACTTTTCATCTCTAAGAAGCTGAGCATCTTAGAACTTCTCAGTATTTCTTGACTAATTGATTAATTTAAAGGTGTGGAAAATTGGTCTGAGAATTTTGTATAAGAGAGAAATGTTTTGTTCCAGAGAATAAACACTTAAGAGAGAGAAGCAGAAGGTCAGTAAACACTTCAGCACAACCCTTTCTAAAAGAGTATTAGAGACATCAACTTATTCAATATATGTGACATTTGGTAATAATAATAATAATTATTGTTATTGTTCCTTTATATACTGTTCTTAACCATAACCCAGATAGATCTTTTTCTATATAGTGTTATTTCCCATACTATTTTCACAAGCCCCACATATGGTCTTTACATTTTTTTGTTTGGAAAAAAAAAGTGTATATGTTTTCTTTTAATAGCTTACTTACCTGGATAATAGTAAAAGGCAACTGATCTGAATTAGTGTAATATTTCCAGAGAATAATGGACTTTGCTAACAATTCTCTTGGTTTCTTTAAACCCTAACGTAAAAAATTGCCACCAATTTATTCAGTTGAAATTATACTTTTGCAACTCTCAGAAACATAATTCATAACCATATATTGAATTTCTTTACCTATTTTTACCATTCTTATCTTTGCCCTGTATACATAATGGTTCTTTTGTTTATATGGTTGCTTTTAAGATTTTCTTTTTATCACTGATTTTAAGCAGTTAGCTTATGATGTCCCTTGTTACAGTTCTCTTCATTTTTCTTGTGCTTAGAGTTTATTGAGCTTCTTGAATCTGTGGCTTTATAATTTTACAAAATTTGAAAATGTTTGGGCCATTATTTTTTCAAATATTTTCATTGAAATTATGGTATTTCTTACAATATTTATCACATGCTCTTCGGGTACTCCAATTATACATATATTAGTCTGCTTGAAATAATCACACAACTCACTGGTGTGCTGTTCGGTTTTTCAACTCTTTTCTTGTGCTTCATTTTGGAGAGTTTCTACTGTCATGTCATCAACATCTGATCTTCACTGATTCTTTTTCCTGCAATTTCAAATCTGCTGTTAATACCTTCCTGTGTTTTTTCATCTTAGACATTGTGTTTTGTCTCTAGAGTTT